GCTAGTAGGTTGGAGGCTATCGCTAGTAGGTTGGAGGCCATCGCTAGGAGGCTATCGCTAGTAGGTTGGAGGCCATAGCTATTCAAACAAAGATCAAGAAAAGGAAGAAAGGTCTTTTATATTGGTCTCTCATGGGGTTCAAACAAAAAAACTTCCTCCAATCTGGTCTCCGTTTTGGACTGGATGGCACAGTGCGTGATGTTCTGATAGATTTACAATGCTGCGAATAATGTTGAAGGCTTGCAAGCCTCATCTCCGACAATCGTCCTTTTCGTACTAGTAACAGGTGCCACGCTAGTAGTAACAGGTGCCTTACTAGTAGTAACAAGAAGCTATTAGTAACAAGAAGCTACTGCTGACCAACATCATTCTCCAAGTGTCCAGGTTGGTCCATCACCTGCAACCCCTGCCATGAGTAGCTCGACAAGCACAATACCCGCAGAGAAGATGTCGGATTTAGGGCATGACGGCGGCAAAACAAACTGCACTCCTGAGCGCCAAATCAGCTTCAGAATGCAAATAACCACTCAACATCCTGAGCACAGCCAAATTCTGCCAAGTGCCACCAAGAATCCAGTTTTCTTGGTGCTTTGCTCGAGCTGAATGCAATGTTCCGGGGGGGGCATATCCTGGTGTTCCAATCGCTGTCTGGGAGACCTGCTGTTTGCCATTTGCGCGCTCAGTGGACGCTTTGATGTGCTCCGAGGAACCTGATCAAGTCAAGTGAACTAAGGATTTGGAACTGCTCAATCCAGCTTGCTAGCTTGCTTGCTTACTTAACTTAACTTAACTTAACGTTGACCTCCAGGAGGTTCATCCATGATTATACACATCACCTGTTCACCCAGCCGAACACCAGGACACAAAGTAAGAGAACTGCTCTGTCCAACCACCCAATACCGTATTGAGGCTAATCCTCCAAAGGGCTGAGCTTGGCCAATCCAAAGTCAAAGATCTTCACCTCAGATCCCCAAGCGACTCACTTGGCCAAGGCCTCACCCCTCCAGCCAGAGGTAAAAGTGAGGATTTACCAACCGAAAAATGGGCAATAAAACACGGCAGCAGGCCGATTGATTTGTTGTGCGAACAAAGAATGTTGATTCTGAAACTCTTGCAAGCGCTCTGATTCAGATCATACCAACCCATCAAGCTCCGCCTTCGAGATCCTTCATTCAAGCTAGCCACTTGCCCGTCCTTGGAAAGCAAGATGTTGGCCGGCTTGATGTCCCAATGCACAATACCAACCTGAAGTTGAGCACAATGCAGGGCAGAAGCAAAAGTTTCGTTTGCTGAAACACTCTGAAACAGGTCTTCCCATGGTGTGGACCAGAGTCTTCCCTTCCAAAACTGTCACCTGACTTGATCCAAAACTGGATCTACACCAGCCTCGTGAAGGTCAGCAAGGCCTGCCACTGCACGAACGAATGCCAGTCCGCCACTGCACCGAGAAAACACATCAAAACTCGTTGGTTTGCACTAGAAATTCCGTTCGTCCGGACTCGTTGGTCTTTTTCTCATGAGATTTTCTCATCACGGGTGCAACAAAGACAACTCTTTGGTCCTCCCAGCCTTGCATGAGCTGCTTGAAGATCTGACGGGAGGCATTCATGCCACCCTTCAGCAACTTCGGGCGCGCAGAGTTGCGGTCGGAGAGCCAATCAGCCAGTGTAATGCCATCACCTCAGACCACAAATCACGCTAAATTGGGCTCCGCCGGTCCAGCTGGGTGGTGCTTCGTTGACTTGGGGCCAAGGGCGTGAACGTTTAACAGCAACTATGGTGTGCCAGCAGCTATGTTGGCTTAACTTGATGGAACATGTGATGTGATGAGGTGAGCCGAGCTAAACCGAGCGGAGACAAGACAAGCCTTTGGGTTCAGTTGAGGAGACGAAATAGCGAGGTCTCCCAAAGGCTAAGCTCGCTAAATCCTTTAGCGACGATCTATGTGCAAGACACCAAGCAGAACGCAAAACGTCAAAGAGTTAGAAAAGTCTTCAAAAAGTCAAAAAGGTAAACGAAAGCACGCAGCGAGACTTTTCGACTTTTCGAGACTTTTTGACTTTTCTCACTGTTCGATACTTTTTGACTGTTCGATATTTTTGGGCACCAGTCATATGCCGTGCCCTTCAAGAAAAGTCTACAAACGTGGCTTTTGCTCCTACAGGTATAGGTTGCTGTTTTCCAAACATCTCCAGCCGTGTCAAAGTGAGTCAGCCTCGAGCAGGAACGCCTTCAAAAAAGAGACGCCCGCCAAAAGGACCCGGCAAGCCCCGCGACCTTTTGGCGGGTGACTCTTTTTATCATCGTTGTCTTTTCGTGCACTTTCGACTTTTCGACTGTTCGCGACTTTTCGACTTTTCGCAAAAAGTTCGGAGAGCAAGTAGATCCAGCTCATACATTTAGCAACCACAGCCCAAACGGGGACCATGCGAGTTGGACCCGCAGCTCCAGCTCGCTCATGCTTCCTGACTAGCATCACTTTGCTGAAATCTGGTGCTCCTAGCAATGGTCCTCTGGCAGCCCTGAAAGGAGGGCCACGGACGCTGGTTGGTCCAAATGGCAATATTCCATCTCAATCACGAGGACAACGTCGTAGTGCTTCTCGCCTCACACGAGCCCAAATGTTGAGATCTCAACTCTTCCACTCGGTTTTGGATGCAAATGTGCTTGAAGTCTGCAATCCCAACTTGCAACGAAATCTGCTTTGTCCCGCGGTGGAGGCCGAAGAAATCAAGATAAATCAAGTGTCTTTCCTTATCCTTTCTTCAAACACCTTCAGGAGGCCATCGCTATTAGGTTGGAGGCCATCGCTAGTAGGTTGGAGGCCATAGTGTTGGTCCCACCTCGGCCAGTCCTCTCCTTCTGTGGCTTGGACACCTCAGGGAGAAAAATGGTGCGCTTCTGTTTGAATATATCTCTTTTGTTGAGACTAGAGATGACTAGGGTCTCTCTCTCTCTCTCTCTCTCCCTGGATTTCGTGCATCATTTGTTGTGAGAGAGAAAAACAACTGGTTTCTAATTATTCTATCTGACCTTTGCACCATATTTCATCATAGTTCCCCTTTTATGCATCCATCCTTGACACAAAAATGACACCAGTGTGTGTGTGTGTGTGTGTCGGGAAGCGCGGAGTGGACATTTCCACGACAAGCACACAATGGAACAAGCACGCATTCCTTGGGCCCTGCCTCTGACTGTGGTGTCGAGGGTGGGGAGTTTTCTGGCATCTCCGTGACCACCCATTCAAAGCCGCAGGAGCTATCGAGACCTGCAAGCCAGCTTGAGCAAACCAAAGCTGGTCTGATTGAAACGGCCCTTTCCAGCTCCTTCATCCCCGAACAGCTACAACAAGGACCCATCCTTCACAAAAGGCTCTCTTATGGTACTTCTTGGGAGCTTTATATATACAGGCCTCAGTTTCACATTTGCGCACCAACCATCATGCTCTAAAAAGAAACATGTGCGAATCTTGCGAATCCAACCATGAAACTGTCAAGAATCCCTTCACCACAATTCCC